GCTTTTATTCACTTTGGAGTGATTTTTTTACCTGTACGTCTCCTGTGTTGATACATGTAATATGCTAATTCTGTACTGTGTAGATCATTAAGAGTCGTTGTCGGGTGAAAAAATCTTTCGCTAACACTGTGTTGACTGTGAACCGGAAGTGTTGGGAGTGGCATCAAGTGCTGGGCCGGATGTCCGTGGCATATAGGCTATTACCTTGTGAGCATAACATTTCCTGAGATTCTTGCTGTATTACTGTACAATGTTAAATTATTTCTTAGAAAAGATACAAACATAACAAGTTTAGGCATGTTTACGCTACACTGCCATATTGCAGATTTGAATAAGGCAGCAGAAGGAGGCCGTCACAGCAGGGAAACTTTCATCGTCGTGATCTGACTCGGCCTCTGAGCTTCCAGTTGGAAAATGTCAAAGTAAATGATCTGGCCTTCCTGTCCAGTCATAAACAGCAGTGACGTAGAGGAGAAGCAGATGGGCCTCTCTGTCAGAGCTGTGTCCTTTTTTTTTCTCCTCTTATCCACACCGCCAATCAGTCCTTCCTCTAAATGTTGCCTGGAGTGCATCATCTTTCCCCCCATCATCCCGCTCTGCCTCCTTTGTTTCAGGTCACCTGTAACTCTCTATCTGGATCTTCATCAATCTCTCTTGAACACACACACACAACACACCACCCTAAAGCATGAATACACAATCACACTGTCCATCTCTGAAGTGTCCCCTGCTGGATAGTGGTCTGTTGTGCATAGTACAGTCATCTGTTTATGAGTCACAAACTGTCGCGTGGACACTCTGTACCGTGCTGTCAGTGTGTCGTCCTGCTGGAGCTCAGGACCCCAGAGACGATGGTTGCACAGCAAACGAACAACATTTACACAAAGCTGTGGGACTGTAAATTTTAAAATGTGTTATAAAAAGAAGTAAAAAGTCCTGAGTGGCAGAGCGGGGATGAATTTACGTTTGAAGAGATGGAAGGTCGGAAAAGTGCAGCACTTACATCACCTGGTGTGACCCCAAGAGCACTCCTGCTTTTCTTCATGCTGGGAGGGTTCACGGGGTTCTTTTACTGTCAGATGGTCCGTCAGACAGAGCAGCTTCTTCCTGCGCTGTGCAGCTTCACGGGTTCAACTGCAGGAGGAAGGCAGGGTGGAAAATGTTAAAGTAACCACCTCCAAAAGTCCCTCTTTGGAAGACTTTTCAATTCATGTTAACATTTCGGCAAACTTTACAACTTTAACAGAATCCTTCAGGGAAGAATTAGAAAACAGTTAAAGAGATTATACAAAAAAAAAAAAAAACGCAACTACTGATTACTGTAGGAACATTTTAGCATTGTTTTACTTAGTGCTGTACCAAACGATTATTTTCTAATCGATCAATCTAACGATTATTTTTTCAATTAATCGATTATTCTAACAACAAATCTAAAAGTTATTCTGATGTGAGTGCACTGGATATTTAAAATGTTTTCATCAAATTAACAAGAACAGTTCTTTAAAATTGTAATATTTTCTGTAATAGTTTTTTCA